AAGGATGTGGAAAATTGGGACACTAATAAGCTGTTGATGAAACCGTGAACTGATCCAATCATTTTGACCAACGATCTGGAATTATTCCCAAAGAGTTATAAAACTGTGTATAACCTTTGACCTAGCAATACCACTATTAGATCTATTTCCCAAGGTGATCAGGGAAAAAGAAAAAAGAATGTATATGTTTCAAAATGTTAATAGCAGTTCTTTTTGTGGTGGCTGTGTTGCAAAGCAGCCTTATTTGCTGCAATTTAATTTAGTTTTGGTTTGGATTGGTTCAGAAATGACACAGAACCTCAGGTTTGATAGATTATATATATGAGTATTTATTATTAAAACAATAACAAATATAAGTAAACAATAATATTATAAGTCTCAATAGTTACAACATAAGTCTCAATCAGTAATACTTTAAGTCTCAATTGGTGCCAATAGTTACATTAGTCTCTATCAGTAACAACTTAAGTCACAGTCAGCACCAAATCTTACCACATTAGATCATCACTGTCAGAGAAATCATCTATATCTGGATCACATGGCTGGGGAGTCCCAGGATCTGCCTCCAGAGTCCCAATGGAAAGGTCCCAGCCTACATGTCCATAGCATGGAGGAGACTCCAAAGATGGCTCAGGACTACCCACCTTTTTAGTAATTCCCTGTAACAAAGAAGACAGTTTGTGAAATAAATGCATGATCAGTGGGAAAGGAGCTATTCTCGAAACTATCCTTGAGAACATTCCTGTTTTAGAATGCTCTGTTCCTGGAGGGGTGGCCAGCCCTTCCTGGGAGTGAACCTCATAAACAGTCCTTCAATGTCTGGCTAAGGATAAGATTAACATAAAACAGAATCATATAGTTAGGGTCAGATTGCGAGGCCAGAATGTCCTTATGAATGCATGCATTACAGTGGCAAAGAATTGGAAATAGAGGGGATGCCCATCAATTGGGGAATGGCTGAATAAGTTCTGGTAAATGATTGTGGTGGAATACTACTGGGCCATAAGAAATGATGAGCAGGTTGACTTTAGGAAAACATGGGAAAGATTTGCATGAAATGATGAGAATGTTGTATATAGTAACAGCAATATTGTTGAGGAGTAAATAGGAATGACTAAGCTATTCTGAGTTATATGAATATTCAAATCAACTACAAAGAACTTATGGAGGAAGATGCTATCCACTGCTATCCATCTCTAGAGAAAGAACATATAGAACCATGTATTATATAGTTTTGTGTGTCTGTGCGTCTGTGTGTCTGTGTGTGTCCGTGTGTGTGTATGTGTTGGCCTTCTCTAGTGCAGGGTTGGGAATGATGGAGGGAAACAGCTTGGAACTCAACAAAAGGGAAGAAAAGAAATATTTTAAATTGAAAATAATGCCTTAAAAATTAGAATTGGACAAGTGGAAGCCAATGACTTTGTGAGACATCAAGAAACTATAAAACAAAGTCAAAAGAATTTTAAGAATAGAAGAACATGTGAAATATCTTATTGGAAAAACAACTGACCTAGAAAATAGATTGAGGAGAGATAATCAAATAATTTTTGGACTACCTGAAAGCCATGATCAATGAAAGAACCTAGACCTCACATTTCAAGAAATTATAAAGGAAATGGCTCTGATATCCCAGAGCCACAGAGTAAAATAGAAATTGAAAGAATTCACCGATCGCTTTCTGAAAGAGATCCCAAAATGGAAACTCCCACCTAAAACCAAATGCAAATAAAAGGTATAAACCCTGAAGCCTTCCCAGTAAGATCAAGATTGAAACAAGCATTTCCATTATCACCACTATTATTCAATATTGTTTTAGAAATGCTAAGTACAGGAATAAGGCAAGAAAAAGTAATTGGAGAAATAAAAATAGAGAATGAGGAAACAAAATTATCATTTTTGTAGATGATATGACGATATACTTAGATAACCCCAGAGAATCAAGGAAACACCTGATTAAAACAATTAACAACTTTAGGATATAAAATATCAGGCATAAAATAAACCCACATATATCATAAACATTTCATATACTACCAACGAAGTAGTACAAACACAATTACAAACACTCTTCACACAAATAAAAACAGACCTAAACAATGGAGAAATATTAATTGCTTGTGGGTAGGCTGAGCCAATATAATAAAAATGACAACTTTACCTTAGTTAATTTATTTAGTCAGTGTCATACCAATCAAACTACCAAAGAATTATTTTATAGAGCTCAAAACAAAACAAAACAAAAATTTATCTGGAAGAACAAGAGATCAAGAATATAAGGAAATCAATGAAATAAATATGAAGGAAGGCAGCCTAGCAGTACTATATTTCAAAAGATAATTCAAAGTGATATAATTTCAAAGTGATAATCATGAAAACAACTTGGTTCTAGCTAAGAAAAAAAAAAGGAACAGTGGAATAGGTTAGGTACAAAATACATAGTAGTAAATGACCATAGTATCTAGCATTTGATAAACCCAAAGATCCAAGTTTTGGGAACAAACATTCAACATTTTGTGGGAAAATATTCCTAGAAAAACTAGAAAGTAGTTTGGCAAAAACTAGGCGTAGACCAACATTCATGCCATTTAATAAGATAAAGTCAAAATGGATAGATGATTTACACATACAGAGTGATGTCATAAATAGATATTTGCTGGGTATAAAATCCACATAAATCATAAGCATTTCACGTACTACTAACAAAGTCCAGCAGGAAGAGATAGAATGAGACATTCCATTTAAAATAACAGTGAATATTTTAAAATACTTGAGAGTCTACCTGCCAAGACAAACCCAGGGACCATATAAACACAATTACAAACATTCTTCACATAAATAAAAACAGCTAAACAATGGAGAAATATTAATTGCTTATTAGGGGAGCAGGGAAAATTGTACCTCTCAAATCTATAGATAAGGGAAGAGTTTATGATGGAACAAGAGATAGGATCACAGAAAATAAAAGGGATGATTTTGATTATATGAAATTAAAATGGTTTTGCATAAATAAGACTAATGCAGCCAAAATTAGAAGAAAATCAGGATATTGGGGGGGGAATTGCAGCAAGTTTCTCTGATAAAGTCCTCATTTCTCAAATATATGGGGAAATTAGACAAATTACAGGGGAAAAAATGTCATTCCCCCAGTTGATAAGTGGTCAAAAGATATGAACAAAGAATTTTCAGAAGAAGAAATCATAGCTATCAATAGTTACAGAAAAAAAATGTTTTAAATCACTATTGATTAGAGAAATACATACCTATGAGATTGGCTAACATAACTGAAAAGGAAAAGGACAAATTCTAGAAGGGCTGTGGAAAACCTGAGACACTAATGCATTGTTGGTGAAGTTGTGAACTAATCCAACCATTCCAGAGAACAATTTGGAAGTATGCTCAAAGGGCTATAAAATTGTGCATACCCTTTGATCCAGCAATGCCATTGCTAGGTCTGAACCCCAAATAGATAAAAAAAAAAAGGGATAAGGACCTATTTATACAAAAATATGTACAGCAGCTCTTTTTGTGGTGGCAAAGAACTAGAAATTGAGAGGATACCTACCAATTGGGGAATTGCTAAACAAGTAATTATATATGACTATGATGGAATACTAATATGCTACAAGAAATGATGAGCAGGATAGTTTCAGAAAAACCAAGAAGACTTATATGAAATGATGCAAATTGAAATGAGTAGAACCAGGATAACATTGTACACAGTAACAATGATATTGTAAGGATAATTGACTGTGACTTAGCTACTCTAATCAAGAAAATGATCCAAGATGATTCCAAAGGACCCATGATGAAAAATGCTATCCACTTCTAGAAAGAGAACTGATGAACTCTGAGTGCAGATTGAAACCTATATTTTTCTTACTTTCTTTTTTTCCTTTTTTTGTGTGTGTTTTCTTTTGCATCATAGCTAATAAGGGAATATGTTTTGCGTAACTTCACATGTATAATTGATATCATATTGTTTGTCTTCTCAAAAGATTGGGGAGGTGTGGGAGGGAGGGTAATCATTTGAAGTTCAACATTTTAAAAATGAATGCTGAAAAATGTACATGTAATTGGGAAATATTTAATAAAATAAATAAAAATATAACTTAAAGAAGAAATTTGGGAAAGGCAGTTTCTGATGCAGGACTAGAGTTCAGGATGTTAAAAGGGATTGGATAGGTAAATCTGGGAATGATCTGCAAAAAGATCTTGGGAGCTGATAAGACTGCTGAGTGAGAGAGAAGAAGAGAAGAAGAAGAAGAAGAAGAAGAAGAGAAGAAGAGAAGAAGAAGAAGAAGAAGAAGAGAAGAAGAGAGAGAGAGAGAGAGAGAGAGAGAGAGAAAGAGAGAGAGAGAGAGAGAGAGAGAGAGAAAAGAGGAGAGGGTCCAGGACAGAGCCTTGTGAAGCAGGGTATACCCAGCGTTAAGTGACTTTCCAAGAGTCATACTGCTAGTAAGTATCTTGAGGTGGAATGGAAACTCAAGTCTTCCTTACTACTCATCTGGCATTCTATTCCTTACTTACAATTTTTTTTTAAAAAGATTGACTTTTGCTGATAAAAGTTTGAGGTTCCTAAAGTAGATTGCAACATTTTGGAAACTATTCAACCTGTTCTCTTCCTATTTGATGCGAATTAACTGATGCAGTCTCTGTGTCAAATGTACATATTATACGTGTATGTCTGTATGTACATGTGTACAGATGAACATGCATGTGTGTACTGATGAATGAGCTTTTATGGGCTAGCTTATCCATCTAATTGAATGTCATAATCCATATAATTGCTAAATTGTAGGCAAAAACCTCAACACAGAAGCACTGATATATTTGTAACAAGAGAATCATCTTAAAATATAAACTGCACTGCGCACAAGAAGGATAGAAATGGACTGCTGTGGCCTGCGCACGTTCCCGCTGGTTTCTTGTGTAAAAACTTTCTGAATTCTAGAACGTGGCAGCTTGCTCCGCGCAGAGGGGACTCGTGAACCGTCTAAGCTATGGCTGCCATCTGCAAAAAGCTGGTTATAGTTGGTGATGATGAGTGTGGGAAGATGTGCTTGCTGACCGTATTTAGCAAAGATCAATTCCCTGACATTTATGTGCCCACTGTGTTTGAAAATTATGTAGCAGACATTGAAGTGGATGGAAAACAGGTGGCATTGGCTTTGTGCGACACAGCTGGTCAAGAAGATTATCATCACCTCAGACCTCTTTCCTACCCAGATACCAATGTTGTACTTACATGTTTTTCCATTGTTACCCCTGAGAGTTTAGAAAGTGTTCAAGACAAGTGGACCCCAGAGGTGAAGCATTTCTGTCCCAACGTGCCCATGATCCTGGTTGGGAACGAGAAGGATCTTCAAAATGATGAGCATGTAAGACATGAGCTGGCCAAGAAGAAGCAGGAGCCAGTGAAACCTGAAGAAGGCAGAGATATGGCAGATCGGATAGGGGCATTTGGGTATATGGAGTGTTCAGCAAAGACCAAAGAGGGTGTGAGGGTGGTTTTTGAAATGGCCACAAGAGTGGCTTTGCATGCCAGACATGGAAAGAAAAAGTCTGAGTGCCTTGTCTTGTAAGCAGTGGAAAGCCCAAGGCCTCACTAGGTTAATTTTTAAAGTGTTGTTTATTAATCGTAGTGTATGCTTACTGGCCTTTTCCATTTATCTATAATTTACTTTAAGAGATTGACAAATCAGAAATCATCTTGCCACCAGTAATTAGAAACCAACCATGATTGTTTAATGACAGTCTGTGTCTGTTACATCTGTGCATACCACAGGGCCTTCTGACATTACTCAATAACCTTCATCATTCTCCCAACCAGCTTTCCTTTGTAATCCTCTATGAATTTTATATCATGAATTTTTTTTACAAAAAAACCCCTTATTCTGAGAGAGTCCATGGGGCAGCTGAAGGTGTCTGGGACACAAAAAAATTTTAAGAATCACCTGAGACTTGTAAATAATAAGCAAGATGCAAGCCTTAAATGAAAAGAATGCAAATATATCACCCTAATTCCTGAAATAGGGATCTTCTTCATAAAATTCAGTTTTATTGATGCCTTTTCTTTCCATATCATAGTCATTTCTAGATACACCTCAATCTCCAACCTCAACAGAAAAAGTTAAACAAATATGACTACATCTAACAATGAATGCAGCAGTCTGCCCCATTAGTCTCTAACAAGATGAAGGAGGTATATTTTATTCTGTGTTCTCCATGACCAATATTTTTTTTTTATAGATACTGAGAGACTGACTTCCCGTTACAGGGTGTTTTCATTTGGGGTGTTGAGGGGTGTTCAGAGAGGACTAACATCTCTGGTGTAAGGACTTGCTCAGCCCTTTTCAGGGCTGCTTGTTTGCCTTTCACCCACCTTTCACCTGTGGCTCCAAGAAGCTGTAGCACCTGCAACAGCCACACCCCAATAAACTGTCTTGGCAGACAGGATAAACCAGGTTGAGTAACCAACAGGTCTTAAATCTGCCAGCGGATTGGAGGGGTGTCTACCACAAACATCCAAAGACTTCCACCGGTGGAGTGAGTGGATGAGAACACTTTGTTCCAATGGCCGTGAAGACATCTGAAGCGGGCACTATGGAGCTCTTAGAGCTTGGTCAGACATAAAAGATGCCAAGGTCATCCACTGAACCCTGGGCCATGACCAGTCATCCTGACTTTTGTCTTGCCAACTGAACTTCAATGATTCTGGAAGAGGGAGTGAAGCTGATGGTTTTGTGTGCAACTCTGCCTCACTTAAATCCAATTCTGGTGCAAGTCAAGATATCACCCTATGATGTCACTGGTCCTCTCTGAAAACAAAGGACAAACCATAATTTTCATTACTTCATTGTAGTTTTTATGGTATTCCTCCAGGTCTGTTTTTTTTTTCCCTACTCTGTATCAGCTCATACAATGCAGCACCCACATCTGGGCATTCCCCAAAGGTTGGCAGACACTTTGGGTGCTAGACCCTTTAAATCCACACTCTGAATACTATAGGTTACAAGCCCCCACAGTATTTTTTCCCATTAACAATCAGCCACAAATAACATGGTACGAAAAGTGATTACAAAACATCACCCTTCTGCCTCATAAACCTGTGGCACACTCTCTCACAAATAGACACAATATTTATGGAAAGAGTGGGTTCATACCTAGAGTGTAATGGCAGTATGTTACACATGTAGGACACACATGTGGCAAAGGCAAGTCTATATTTTCTCCTGGTACTTCTCCTGGCAGAGAAATCCTTTCTCCCTTCGTAGGGTCCTTCTACAGCATTAGGTTCAACATCTTTTTGGGCAGATTGCTCAAATGGGTTCTCAGGGCAGGGTGCCCTTCTTGGTCCTACTTTCTTTTCTGCTGCTAGGGGTCACTTTCCTTGAAAATATTCCCTCCTTGGGAAACTAACACTATAACCGCATCTGTCTGGAGTGTGTTTCTCTGCTTCTTGCAGGATTTAGTGTCTCCTAATGGTTAAGTAGCTCCCTCTCAAAGTTATATGGCAAAGGTGAATTTGGGGGTACAGGGTAGAAAGTGAACAAATTCTCCCTCCATTCTCTCCTTAATCCTCAATCTCTTCCAAAAATACCTGTCAGGTTCAGATTTCCAAGTCTGGAATTCTGCATTCATCCACAGCTTAGATATTTAAAGTACCCAGAGGTATAGCTAATTTGTTTACTCAATCACTTTGCTCCTTTTTTGACTCAATAAGAGAAGTACTCACATCTGACAAAGGGTTGGGACTCATCTCTAAAACCTAGTTAACATATCATTAACACCCAATTACAATCTGGGCCTTCTATCAGCTGAGGTTGGAGAAGGGAGAAGAGGAAGAAACTCCCTCCTTAACACCTATGTTACTGTATTTCTTTGATTGATTAGAGAAATGCAAATCAAAACATAATAAAACAGGAAAATGATAAATGTTGGAGAAGATGTGGGAAAATTGGAACACTAATGCATTGTTGGTGGAGTTGTGAAATGATCCCAACATTTTGGAGGGCTATAAAAATGTGCATACCCTTTGACCCAGCAATAGCACTTCTAGGACTGTATCCCAAATAGTCATTTCATAAGGCATTATTATATTCTGTCACACTGATATGCCATAGTGGTTTAAGGATTTCCCCCAATCAGTAGACACCTATTTTATGGCTAGTTCTTTGATACCACATAAAAGTACTGATATGACTATCAGAGATAGTATAGTGCCAGCTTCAGCAGAAATATGACCTATGTTCTGATTTAGATAGTGTATCTAAATCTAAACTGATATTGTAAGCAAACTGGGAGAGCAAGGAATAGTTTGCCTATCAGATTTATGGAGAACAGAAGAATTCATGACCAAACAGGAGATAAAGAACATTATGAAATGCAAAGTGGATAACTTTGATTACATTAAATTGAAAAGTTTTTGCACAAACAAAGCCAATGAAATCAAGATTAGAAAGAAAGTAGAAAATTGGGAAAGAATTTTTACAACCAGTGCCTCTGATAAAGGCCTCATTTCTAAAATATATAGAGAATTAAGTCAAATTTGTAAGAATCCAACTCATTCCCCAATTGATAAAAGGATATAAACAAACAGTTCTCAGATGAAGAAACTAAAGCCATCTATAGTCATATGAAAAAATGTTCTAAATCACTATTGATTAGAGAAATGCAAATCAAAACAACTCTGAGGTACTACATCACACCTGTCAGATTGGCCAACATAACAAAACAGGAAAATGATAAATGTTGGAGAAGATGTGGGAAAATTGGAACACTAATGCATTGTTGGTGGAGTTGTGAAATGATCCAACCATTTTGGAGAGCAATTTGGAACTATGCCCAAAGGGCTATAAAAATGTGCATACCCTTTGACCCAGCAATAGCACTTCTAGGGCTATATCCCAAAGAGATCAAACAAATGGGAAAAGGACCCACATGTACAAAAATATTCATAGCAGCTCTTTTTGTGGTGGCAAAGAATTGGAAAGTGAGAGGATGCCCATCAATTGGGGAATGGCTAAGCAAGTTGTGGTATATGAGTGTAATGGAATACCATCATGCTATAAGAAATGATGAGCAGGTTGACTTCAAAAAAACCTGGAAAGACTTATATGGTCTGATGCCGAGTGAGATGAGCAGAACCAAGAGAACATTGTACACAATAACAGCCATGTTGTGCAATGACTAATACTGATAAGCTTAACCCTTCTCAGCAATACAAGGATCTAAGACATCTCCAAAGGCCTCATGATGGAAAATGCTATCCACATCCAAAGAAAGAACTATGGAATTTGAATGCAGATTGAAGTATACTATTTGCTATTTTTTCTCTTCTGTTGTTTTATTTCCTCTTTCTGGTGGTTCTAATTCTCCTATTGGTTCTAATTCTTACTTACAATATCACTAATGTGAAAATATATTTAAAAGGAATGTATATGTATAGCCTATATCAGATTGTGTGCTGTCTTGGGAAGGGAGATGGGGAGGGAGAGGGAGAAAAATTTAAAACTCAAAGGCTTATGGAAGTGATTGTTGATAATTCAAAATAAATCAATTTAACAAAAAAAGATGAGCTATGTTCAAACCTGCCTCTGTTATGTGACCCTTGGAAAATTATATTCTTAATACTGAAAATTGTATAGCTCCTATAATATAGTGTACCACTCCCTCAGGGCTAGTATATATAACCCCCCCATGTTAAAACAATTTTTAACATTTTTTTAAAGTTTTGGGTTCCAAATACTATCCCTCCCTTCCCTCCCCTCTCCTTGAGACTGTAAGTAGTCAGATACAAGTTATACATATGCAATCATGTAAAACATTTCCATATTAGTCATTTTGTAGAAAAAGATTCTAATAAAAAAAATAAGAATGAAAGAAAACAAGTGAAAAATAGCATGCTTCAGTCTGTATTCAATCAATATCACTTCTCTCTCTGGAGGTGGATAGTACATTTCATCATTAAGTCCTTTGGGATTGTATTGGACCGTTGTATTGCTGAGAATAGTTAAGTCATTCCCAGTTCTTCATCAAGCAATATTGCTGTTATGGTATATGACATTCTCCTGGTTCTGTTCACTTCATTTTGCATCAGTTCATGTTAGTCTTTCCAGGTTTTTCTGAAAGCATCCTGCATGTCTTAAAGCACAATAACATCCCATTACAATCATGTAGCGCAGCTTGTTTAGCCATTCCCCCAGTTGATGGACATCGTCATCAGGGCTACCTTACGCTCACTGATTTTGAGGTCTCCACAGGGTGGTTCTTTGCAGACCAAAACCAGATTTTTTACTTTTGTGTATCAACACACACACACACACACACACACACACACACACATGCACATGGTAGATGCTCAAAAATATTTACAATTTTGGCTATTTTGAAAGGTTATTTCTAGGCAATATCTTACACCAGGATCTTTTTTCTTTTAGGAGACAAGGTCATCCCACTCTGCTTCCCACACAGTGGGACGTGCTCTGCCTGTATACTCCCTAATGGCAATTTGTGTATGAAGCTTTCATGAGTATCTATCATTCTTACTGAGACTTTCTTTTAACTGTCCCTATACTAACAT